AGGTTTAGAGCTGGATGAACACAGGCCAAGCAGCATCAGAGGAGCAGGAAAGCTGACATTTCAGGCCTAGACCCTTCTTTAGAAATCCTGAGGCCCAAGAACTGACTTGATAACTGGTTAGTGCTTCCTTCTAGAAAATTCAATACATCCTAATCTTGTAGGATTTACTTCAAAACTAGTGCTGCAGAAATTGGAAATCCAAAATAGTGCTATAGATACAGATGTAGCTGTTGGTTGGTTTGCTGAGCTGACTAGTTTTCATGCAAATGTAGCTTCAATGGAGGCTACATAGCACTGAATTTTCCCTAGAAGGGAGATGATATTTGCATGAATACTAGTCAGCTTGGCAAACCAACAACTCCAACTGCAACCGGAGCTACAGATTGTCATCAATAGATGTAGCAGCATCTGAAGGAGATAAAGTTGACTTCTCAAATTCACACATCTTTGTATAGTGTCTCACTTCAAATGCTTTCAGAAAAGCCAAATCAAACTCTGGCAAAGAAAGACCACCTTGCTTGTCTGTAACAGCTGAACAAGTCAATTGTTTAATCCTACTTTCAATTGTTTCCTAGCTCCACTAGTCAAGGACAGGTACACACCAGCTTAAGGATGAAAAGCTTGGCTTCTACTACACTTACAGCAAGTCTCACACCCCTACAACTCAGTAGAAAGTGGTTTAGTTACTTAATCTATGCCCTCCTAGTCACTGACTTCTCCTGAAGTCATTAGAACCATTCCATGCACTAGCCAGGGGCTAAGCAAATCTCTACTTGGCCTCTTTCAAGGAGAGCAACCCTCATCTAGAAACTTATTTTTTCTGTTCTGGAAACACTTTCCAATCTCCATGGTTTTTGGAGCTAGAACTTTTCTAGCTAGATTAGAACTGCACAAGCATGGAATCTAGCAATTTCATGCTTCAGCATACCCTGACTATAGAAAATTTACACATTTCACTTGTTCTACAAAGAAGATTGCTTCACTGTACTCAACCTCAAATGCATCACCTCAGGTTCAAATCCCATTTGTTACTTCTATCCACCCAGTCATTTGGGTCTCCTTGCAGTTTATAGCTATCCTCATGACAGCCAAATCATTAGAGGTACTGAATCCTACAACCTCACTGGAAAGCCTTCCATAAAAACTCAAGCTTTGCTTCCTGCCCCTCAGCAAGCTAGATACTAAATTAGCTACATCCCCTTGAAGTGAGAGGTTACATCAAGTTAAAAGCTTTGCTAAAAGCATATGCAGACTAGCACAAACTACAACACCCTCAGTGCAGTCTTTCCTTGACTTTATGATTGGTATTAATCCACACCTTTGAATTGTCAGTTTGCAATCTCAACTCCAATAAAAATTTTCACCATCAGTTGTGCTGACTGGTTAGTCTTCAGTCAGCCTTCTGCTTTTCCAAAAGAGAAGCAGAGTTCTAATCATCTGGAATACTTTGAGGACTGATGCAGTCAGTTCTCTTGACTTCTATCAACAGCCTGGGGTAAAATTTCATCAGGCTGTAGCAAGGCTATAAACTGAAGTGATGCTAATTCTATTAATACTTCTGATCCTCACATTTAGTAAGCATTGAATCACTCACTTATCCACATAGTCCCAAGAGAAGGCACCCATTAAAAAACCATACCAACATCTTCAGTTTCTACACAGGGTTAATAACAGACCAAGATAAGTAACCTATTCTTTCATTAGAAACTTTAAGAGGCTGAGGGGGACAAGACTGGCAGCTCAATTTTGGGTACAGATGCTGTAGGAAGGATAGAAGGGGAGGTTTTTATTGGGACATTCCTAATTGTCCAGTGAAGCTATTAGGTGGAAATGATGAGTGATCACTGATGTTCTCTTTGGATTCAAAAGAAATTCTACAGATTTGTACCTAGGGAGAGAATAGGGCCCCTTAAAGATAAAGAAAACCATCAGTGTGGAGCCACAAAAGCTGGGCAAGAACCTAAACTGATTTTTTCAGTTTTTACAGTGGAAAAAGACATGGAAGCCAGGGTACACAAATAAGTAGTGACATCTTTAAAGTTTAGATCACAGAAGAGGTGGAGGTATAGTGTATCAAGGTGGTTAAGCCCCCAGGACCAGAGCAAATGTACCCAAGGGCACTGTGCAAAGCTTGGGAAGAAATTGCAGGGCCCCAGCAGAGGGCTTTGTATCATTCACAAATATGGGTGAAGTGCTGGAAGACAGGAAGGTGGCTAGTGTTGTGCTATTATTTAGCAAAGGCTGCAAGGAAAGGCCAGGGAACTAGACAGGTGAGCTGAAGGGGATTCTGAGACACAGGATCTGTGCATTTGGAAAGGAAGTGACTGATTGGAGGTAGATAGTCAGCATAGCTGTGTTTGGAGCATTCAAATTTGAGTGAGCTTTTGTGAAGAGGTGACCAAGATAGACAGAAAGGGTTAGTAACATTTGATCACATGGGATGCAGGGAGAGATAGCCAATTGGATACAAAGTTGCTTGATGTGAGACAGAGGGTGGTGGTAGAGGGTTGTTTAGACTGGAGGCCTGTGACTACTGGTGTGCTGCAAGGATCACTGCTGGGTCTACTGGTTCCTAATTTATAGGAATGATTGAGGTGAACAGGAGGCATGATTAAGTTTGCAGATCTCAAATTTCTGGTATCATGCAGTGAAGGTGGTTACCTCAGTACAATTGTACCTTGATCAACAAACTAGTTGGCCAAGGAATGGCAGATAGAGATTAATTCAGATAAACAGGTGTTGCATTTTGGCAAGCTAAACCAGGGAGAGACTTAATGGTAGGACCCTGGGGAGTGCTGCCAAACAAGGAGACTTGGGGTGCAGGTGCATAGTTCCTTGAAAGTGGTAGCACAGGCAGACAGGGTCCTGAGAAACAGTCTGGCATGCTTGCCCTCAGTCACAGCATACAGTATAAGAGTTGGGATGTTATGTTGCATCTGTACAAGACATCAAGGCTACATCTGCAGCACTGCACCCAATTCTGGTTGTCCTGCTATAGGAAACATGCCAGGAAACTGACTTTTTGCATACTTGAAAGATGCTAGAAAAAAACTGGAATGTTTGAGTAAAAGGGAGAGGCTGAACAAGCTGGCTTTCTCTGCTGCTCCCCCCACCGAGTGTCAGACACCATGGTGTGACCTTACAGGTCTAAGATCATGACAGGCATGATAGGAAGAATGGTTGAGGTCTTTCCCATCCCCACAGACAGGATAGTCAAACATTAGACAGGGCACAGGTTTAAGGTGAGCAGTAACTTTTTCAGAGTAACACATGTGAATGAGTTGTCAGAAGGAGCTGTAGAGGCAGGTACAATTACAATTATTGAGACATTTGGTCAGGTACATTGGTAGGGAAGGTTTAGAGGCATGAGCCAAATTAGGCAGGAGACACTAGTTCAGGAGAACTAGTCAGCATGGATAACTTGGGCCAAAAGGCCAGCTTCTGTTCTGACTTGTGCTCATGGAGACTTGCTGATATTCTCATGCCCACTGATTTAGTTTCCTTTTTGAAGTGACCCTATTTATAGTACAGTTTTCTAGAAGCTGTAGTGTCAGAAAAGTTTTGCTTTTCTGTCAACTTCATCTATTGGTCCCCCTTATTTACCAAAATCAGTTTGGCAAGTATCAAGAAACATTTTCCTTTTAAAATGCCACAATTACATTTCCCACAAGGGTGAACAGTCCATGCTTTCTGCATAATTGCAATACTATTCAAGGACAGCTTTCATGATATGTTTACAGACTAACCACTCAGTTTTACATTAATGTAGTTTTGTACAATAATACAGCATTCTAAAACAGGACACTGCCTTTAGACTTCAGACATTCAATATTTAGTCTACATACTAGCAAGCATCAAGAAATAAAGACTGCTTACCTTTCAAGCCAACAGCAGACTTCTTCCCAAAGATATGGAAGAGTTCTAATCTTAGACTGAAAATAAGCAGCGTAATTTTAAACTGAAGCTTGTTGTATGGAACATGAGAAAAAGCTGTTTGAGCACGTTTGTTCTAGGCGGTTTTGAACAGTGTGCCAGAAGAGACTTAAAAGCAAAAGCAAAAGCAAAAACCGAATCTGAGACCGCATCCTGATAAAGCAAGTTATACAACATCCAAGCAGCAAAAAAAAAACAAAGAACTACGGATACTGGAGATCTGATTTTCTGAAGGAGGGTCCCGAACGGAAGCGTCAACTTTCCTACTCCTCTGATGATGCTTGGCCTGCTGTGTTCCTCCAGCTGCACAGCTATCTGACTCCAGCATATGCAGTTCTTACTTTGTAAGAAGCAAAGTAAGAGAAAAGTTACTGGAAAAAACTCAGCAGGACTGGCAGTACCTGCGAAGAGAAAAGTTAATGGTTCGAGTCCAGTGACCCTTCAGAACTAAGCTAGCCACGGAACTCGAAACGTTAACTGTTGTTTATTATTTATCACAGAAGGGATAAAGTCAACCGAAAGCTCCAGCCGTTTATTCTTTCGAAATAAGTTATTCGGTTCGAGAATAAACTGGCTCCCACTCTAGTTGTGTGCTGACAGATCCCTGTAGAATTAAAAGAATTAAAGTAGGTTTAACATGTCCTCTGAAAAGAGGATGAGACAAGTTGCTGTTTCCACACACACCACCAGGTGTGGCGCCCTTTAGCATCTGAAGCCAGGGAGCCATCTTGCACACAATAATGTACAAAGATAAAATCAGAAAAGTCGCGGAAAACGGTCGCTTTTGACGCGAATCTCGCCGAAACCATCAAGGCGGTCAGAGACGCCAGGCTCCCGGGCAGGACCAGGCGGGATTAAAGCGTTTGCCTTCGTGTGGTTGCTCGGCGGTGCCTCTCCAGCCCGCTCGGCACAGCCATTCCACAGCCCAATAACGCGCTCCTTCATTCGCCGGCGCTTTAAACCGGGAGCTGACCAATGACGGAGGGCGGCTGCCGACCCACTTCTGACGTCACCCCCAACAACACGGCCCGGTGCGCATGCGCGGTCCGAGTCAAACAAGAGTTCTGCCTTAAGATGGCGGCGGGGGCTTCAGATCTGTTGGACGATGTGTTCTTCTCAGACGTGGATGAGAAAGTGGTGAGCGACTTAGTCGGCTCCCTGGAGTCCCAGTTGGCGGCTACGGGCCATAACGCGGCGGACCAGGCCGGAATAAGGGCGCAGGTGGTGAATAATCACGTGGAAAACACACCCGGGATGGTGAGCAATAATGTTGAGCTGCAAACAGCAGAGAACAAAATGGGACTGGCAGGAGCTGAGGTTTCCACCGCAGCCAAAATCAAAGTGGACGAGAGCTCCGAGGGTAAAAACGCACAGATTAATTCGCAGAACACATTTGGCAGTGGGGTATTGCCCTGTACGACGGCGGGGAGTGGGGCACAGCAAAGTGTTGTTATCAATAATGCAAGGTCCCAGGCTCCAGGAGTGGAACAGGAGCAGAGTACAGCGGCGGTAGCGGCAGTGACAGGATCATCAGAAACATCAGCTTCAGGCAGCATCGGTCAAGGAAAATCGGTGGTAATAAGTGCAATGGCAACCCCAGTGTCCAACCATGTGAAAACTGTCACCTCCAACGTACAAACTCTTAATGGGAATAATGGAATGGCGATAAACTCTCACAATGCAGGAAATGCCACCACTTTCACTTGTTCAGCAGCTGCAACTACCTTGCCAGCTGTTACGGTGGTCAATAATGGACCTGGATCTGTTGTAAAAAACACAGTTAATACAGGGTTGCCAGCGGTGTCTTTGCCAGTCTCTAGTTCTGCCTACACTGTTATTCAAACATCTTTTGTCAGCACGCAGAATGTTCCTTCAACTGTTGTTTCATCACAGGCAGCAGGACCCACAGTGACATTGGTGAGACCACCAGCGCACAGTGGCCCAGTTCTGCCAGTTGCATCGACGCCGAATGGTAGTAGTACTATATTGAACTCAACAGTTAGTGTAACTAACTTGTCAGCGCCTAGTGGCACTGGAACTCCCCATCAGACTTCACTTCTGACTTTAAACAGTCAGGCTTCTAGTTTGTCAAGTAACGCTTCTTTGTCCACTGGTGGACAGGTTATCAAATCTGAGTTACAGCCCAAAACAATTATACAGACACCACAACAGACTCTCAGTGCAGGAATATTGACATCAACAACTGGTAGTGCGGTGACCACTATAAACAATCAATCAAACACAAGTACTATGGTAATAGGTCAGACGATACAAAGTGGGCTTCAGAATGTGGCATCCAATCCTGGCGGAATTTCCACTCAGTCAGTTGGTACACCAGTTGGAATGGGCAAAGGAACCATTAATACAATTGCCCAAACTATGGCAAGGACAGCAGCAGTGAACACTGGCCCAAGGACAACAATAACGCCACAAGTTATAGCTCCCCGTCTCCCTCAACCCCAACAGCATCAACCAAACATTCAAAATATTCAAATTCCCCCAGGTGAGAATAAGATCATATTGTTCAGTGGCTTGTGCTTTCTTGTACTATTAAGATATTTGAAAAATTACTTATTTTCTATTCCAGCTTAATGCCAGTCTTCAGAATATTTACTTATAGTTTTGTCAGAGGCAATTAAATCAAAGTGGGAAAACATAACGTGCAATGGGCTGTCAACTGTCAAAGCATAGACTACACTGACACAAAATTATAGGCAGTTTAAAAAAAGTTTATATTCTCTAAATGTTTTTATAATACAGCCTAACAATTTCATAAATTAGCATTTCTGACTAGCAGAATATAAAAGGATAGTGTCACAGTTGAAGTTAATTTAATTTTAAGATACTGAACAATTAACCTTGTGTATATAATGTTAATGGCATTACAATCTACAGTTGTAATTTTATTCATTTCCAGGTGATCAGAGTGAAATCACTTGCAGATCCAGCTCTTTGTTCACGTTAAAGCATTGATCATTATAGGGCTTGTACAGCTTGTATGTAGTGGAAACTTGCATTTACCTCGTGCAGTATCGTGGCTGTGTTGATGAATTTCTGTTATGTGACTGAGTAATCTTAACAGTTGGTAAAGTTAGTTTTATTTTTAGATGGCAGGAGAGTTTTGCACAATGTACAGCTATTATGCTTTAAATCCAGTATATAAATATTCATCAGCACTTCCCTTAGCCTTCAGAAGTTGAACAAAACTGCAAAAGACTTTTTTAAGAATCAATTAAAAGAAATAAATACTTACTGTGCTTACTGACAGATAACTGATTCAGCTGATGAATTGCATGTTAATATTGAAGTTTTGCTCTGAAATGAGTGGAATATAACACCGAATAGAGCTGATAAGGATTAATTAAACTGATTATTTAAATTATTTTTGCTTATGTGGTATTACAGTTTCCCTTTTGTCACCTGTGACCAAGAGGTACTAATTGATGATTAAGATCTAATATTGTGGAATTATGACTAATGTCTACAAAATTATCACTTGTATTTACTGCATTGTCTAACTGTAATCAATACCAAGTTAATCAGACATGGTTATCATCAGTCTGACTTCAAAAAAGTGCACTGATCAGCAGATGAAGCTTTTTTGCTATAATTGTTTAAACAGATAGAAGAGCTAGATTGATCACTTAAATTTTGCAATTGTAAAGTTTGACTTGCATCTGGAGTATTTTCAGCTACAGTAGTAAAGTTTAGATTCAAATGGGAAATTTGTTTAAAATTATGAATTGTGTTGAACAAGTATCATCAGAACACAACCTTTAAAAGGAAAGAAAAGTTTAGGTGAGTACTACTTTCACAGTACATCTTGAGTTTATAGAGTCCGTGTCATACAGCACAAAACAGATCCTTCGGTCCAACTCATCCACGCCAATGAAACATCCCAATCTAACATAGTCCCATTTGCCAGCATTTGGCCCATATCCCTCTAAACCCTTCCTATTCATATACACTTCCAGATGCCTTTTAAATGTAATTGTACTCACCTCCCCCACTTCCTCTGGCAGCTTGTTCCATGCACGTACCACCCTCTGCATGAAAAAGTTATCCCTCAGGTCCTTTTTAAATCTTTCCCCTCTAACTTTAAACCAATGTCCTCTAGTTTTGGACTTCCCCCACCCTAGGAAAAAGACCTTGGCTATTCACCCTATCCATGGCACTAATGATTTTATAAACCTCTATAAGGTCACCCCTCGGCCTCTATCACTTCAGGGGAAAAAAGACCCAGCCTATTCAGCCTCTCCCTATAGTTCAAACCGTCTAGTCCTGGCAACATGCTTGTAAATCTTTTCTGCACCCTCAAGTTTAACAACTTTCTTCCTATAGAAGGGCGACTAGAATTCTACATAATACTCCTAAAGTGACATCACCAATGTCCTGTACAGCCGCGACATGACAACGCAACTCCTATATTCAGTGTTCTGACCAATGAAGGCAAGCATGCCAAATGCCTTTTTCACCACCCTGTCTAACTGTGACTCCACTTTCAAGGAACTATGCACCTGTAGCTTCTTTGTTCAGCAGCACTCCCCAGGGCCCTACCGTTAACTGTATATGTCCTGCTCTGGTTTGCTTTACCAAATGCAACACTGCACATTTATCTGAATTAAACTCGATCTGCCACTTCTCGGCCCATTGGCACATCTGATCAAGGTCCCGTTGTACTTTGAGATAAACTTCTTCACTGATCGCTACCCACGTATTTTGATGTCATCTGCAAACTCATTAACCATACCTCTCTTAAAAATGATTTGGATGTGAATACAAAATATTTGATGAATGTGTAGATTAGAAGGGTTATAGGAGAATGGGTCTGGGTGGGATGCTCTGAGGGTCAGTGTGGACTTGTTGGGCCAAAGGGCCTGTTTCCACATGGTAGGGATTGTATGGTTCTATGAAAAGTAGTGAATCCAGCACAGATCCTCATGGCACGCCACTTGTCACAGGCCTCCAAACCGAGAAACAACCCTCCACCACCATCCTTTGTCTCCTACCTTCAAGCCAATTCTGTATCCAGTTGGTTAGCTCCACCTGGATCCCATGTGATTGAGCCTTACTGACCAACCTACAATCCGAAACCTTGTGAACCGCTTTGCTGAAGTCCATATAGACAACATCTCCCGCTCTGCCTTCATCAATCTTCTTGGTGACCTTGTCAAAAAACTCAATCAAGTTAGCGAAACATGATTTCCCACACACAAAGCCATGCTGACTATCCCTAATCAGTCCTTTCCGTAGCGAAACATGATTTCCCACACACAAAGCCATGCTGACTATCCCTAATCAGTCCTTTCCGGCTTTGTGTGTGGGAAATCATGTTTCGCTAACTTGATTGAGTTTTTTTGACAAGGTCACCAAGAAGATTGATGAAGGCAGAGCGGGAGGTGTTGTCTATATGGACTTCAGCAAAGCGTTTCACAAGGTTTCGGATTGTAGGTTGGTCAGTAAGGCTCAATCACATGAGAGATCTTGGTGTCCATGTGCATAGATCCCTGAAAGTTGCCACCCAGGTTGATAGGGTTGTTAAGAAGGCGTACGGTGTGTTAGGTTTTATTGGTAGATGGATTGAGTTTCGGAGCCATGAGGTCATGTTGCAGCTGTACAAAACTCTGGTGCGGCCGCACTTGGAGTATTGCGTACAGTTCTGGTCGCCGCATTATAGGAAGGATGTGGAAGCATTGGAAAGGGTGCAGAGGAGATTTACCAGGATGTTGCCTGGTATGGAGGGAAGGTCTTATGAGGAAAGGCTGAGGGACTTGAGGCTGTTTTTGTTAGAGAGAAGAAGGTTAAGAGGTGACTTAATAGAGACATACAAGATGATCAGAGGATTAGATAGGGTGGACAGTGGGAGCCATTTTCCTCGGATGGTGGTGGCTAGCACGAGGGGACGTAGCTTTAAATTGAGGGGTGATAGATATAGGACAGATGTCAGAGGTAGGTTCTTTACTCAGAGAGTAGTAAGGGCGTGGAATGCCCTGCCTGCAAAAGTAGTAGACTCGCCAACTTTAAGGGCATTTGAATGGTCATTGGATAAACATATGGATGATAATGGAATAGTTTAGGTTAGATGGGCTTCAGATTAGTTTCACAGGACGGCGCAACATCGAGGGCCGAAGGGCCTGTTCTGCACTGTTATGTTCTATGTTAAATGCATGTAAATCCTGTCCCTCAGAATCACCTCCAACAACTTACCCACCACAGCCTTCCAAAAATAATAGCACCACATTAGTCCAGTCATTTGGCACTGCACCTGTGGCTAATGATGATACAAATATCTCAGCAAGAAACCCAGCAATCTCTTTCCAAGCTTCCCCCATAAGTCTGGGAAACACCTGATTATGCCCCTGAGATTTATCTATCTTTGTGTTTTAAGATCTCCTCCAGCACCTCCTCTTCTGTAATATGAACTGTTTCAAGACATCACTGTTTATTTCCTCAAGTTCCCGAGCTTCCATGCCCTTCTCCGTAGTAAATACTGATGTAAAATATTTGTTTGGTATCTTACCAATCTCCTTCCACACGTAGATGGCCACATTGATCTTTAAAGGGTGCTGTTCTCTCCCTAGCTATTGTTTTGCCCTTAATGTATTTATAGAATCTCTTTGGATTCTCCCTAACTCTATTTGCCAAAGCTATCTTGTTCCTTTTTGCCCTCCTGATTTCCCTGTTAAGTGTACCTCTGCTGCCCTTACACTCTTCCAGGGATTCACTTGATCCCAGCTGCTATATCTGATAATTGCCTCCTTTTTCTTGACGAGAACCTCGACTTCTCTAGTCATCCAGTATTCCCTATACATTCCAGCCTTGCCCTTCACACTAGCATGAACATACTGTCTCTGAATTCTCGTTATCTCATTCTTCAAGGTCTCCCATTTCCCAACCATCCCTTTACCTGTGAATAGCCTTCTCCAAACTACTTTTGGAAGTTCCTGTTTAATACTGTCAAAATTGGCCTTACTCCAATTTAGAACTTTAACTTTTTGATCAGTTCTATCCTTTTCCATAACTATTTTAAAACTAGTAGAATTATGACCACTTGTCCCAAAGTGCTGCCCCCACTGACACCTCAGACACTTGCCCTGCCTTACTTCCCGACCAATACAACCCTATTGTTCTTGCAGATATCTGTGATCTCCTTACATATTTGCTTCTCAATTTCCCGCTGACTATTGGGGATGCCCATAATCTAATCCCAACAAGGTGATCATCCCTTTCTTTATTTTTAAGTTCTACCCATTGACTAACTTCGTTGGATGTTCTGTGAGGAATGTCCTCCCTAAGTACAGCCGTTATGTTCTCCTAAGCCAAAAACACCACTCCCCGCTCCTGTCCTGCCCCTGCTTTCTATCCTTCTTATAGCATCTATGCCTCAGAGCATTAAGCTGCAGTTAACTTGTTAAAAAAAGTAACTAAACAAAAGTTTGCTTTGATTTTTCTTCAACACAGATTACATTAATATAAGCATCTTTAACATAAAAAAATCCAAAGATATTTAGGTAAAGTCATAGTTCCAGAGAACAACAGTGCTACTGTCTCACCAGAGAGATGATGTTGGTGGTTTAACCCAAAGATCACTGTGTCTTAGGCAAGCAGAGAGGTTGAGAAGACGAGTCTTTCATGGTCACCTCAGCTGGTATAGGAAATGGCCATACTGTTGGCATCACTCCGTGTCGCAAACCAGCCATCCAACTGAGCTAACTTGTCCCCCTCCAAGGTGTCTCACAAGAGCATTATTAAGATAATTTGGCACCAAACCGCATTGAAATGATATTGGGACAGCTGATCAGAAGTTTTCTCAAAGAGCTACTTTGTAAGGAATATCTTAAAGGAGGATAGAACGGCAGGACTTTTGAGGCAGGAATTGTAGAACGAGTCTTAGCAAATGAAAGCACTGTCACCAAGATTGAAGCAACCAAAACTGGGTATGCATGTGAAACTGGAATTAGTTGATATCTCGGAGGGATTTGTGCCTAGGAATTACAGTTATCGAAAGGAGTGAAACCATGGAAGGATTTAAAAGCAAGGCTGTAATTTTTGGAATTATAATGCTACTTAACCAGGAACCCTAGGAAGCACAGGTACAGTGGGTGAATGGGACTTGGTGTGAGGTTGGATGCCTTTTCTTAAATGTGAAATTTCATTCTAACATGGGTGCTTTGGTCAAACTTTCCTCTTTGTTAAAAGGCTCGGGAGTCATCACCAACGACAAACTACCTATGTGGCTTAGGAAGGTGGAGTCCAGAACTTCAAACATTTCCATAAAATGGGGGTACTCATTAGATCTAAAAGTATTACCGAAATTTTCTTCCTTTTTTAAGTGCAGAGAAGCATACAGTAGAAGCTCAGTTGAGGATCGGTTAGCACAGTTGGATGGCTGGTTTGCAATGCAGAGTAAAGCCAACAGTGTGAGTTCAGTTCCCATATCAGCTGAAGTCAGCATGAAGGCCCCACCTTCTCGGTCTTGCCCCTTGCCTGAGTTATGGTTACTGTCAGGTTAAACTCACCGTCAGTTGTCTCTCTAATGAGAGAGCAGCTGTATGGTCCTCTGGAACTGTGGTGACTTTACCTTTGCCTAGAAGCTCAGTGAGGTCACTGAATAGATACTTCACCTGAAGTCCCTGCCAATACTGCCTTTGCATAAATGAAGAAAATAAGAACGTAAGAACTAGGACCAGGAATAGTTTATTCAGCTCTTCATGCCAGTTCCGCCAGTTAACACAATCGTAACTGATCGCATCTTGGCATCAACTCCACTTTGCTGCCTGCTCCCCATAAATCTTTAACCTGTTACAAATTTAAAATCTATCTCCCTAAATTTATTTAACGTATGGTGTCCATCACTCTCTTGGGTTGTGAATTTGTTGGGTAGTGAATTCCACAAATTCACAACCTTTTGAGAGAAGTAATTCCTCCTCATCTCCATTTTAAATCTGCCCCTTAGCCTAAAGCTATCACCTCTCATTGCCCACAAAGGGTAAATGTCCGTTCTACATCTATTGCGTTTATCCTCTTTAGCATCTATATACCTCAAATAGATCTCTGTTCTTCTGAACTCCAGTGAGTATAGACCTAAACTGTTCAATCAACCCTCATATGACAAGCCTTTCCTCTCTGGAATTAATCTAATGAACCTTCTCTGAACTGCCTCCAAAACAAGGGGACCAAAATTGTATGCAGGATGGAAAGTAAACCTAAATAATGAGAGGTATGGAGAAATAGTTAACAATCCAATCTGCCCCTCATATTGTGTATTTAAGAGATGGCATACTCTTAGAATGGAGACATTGTGGGAATTTTGGTCTAATCAAAGTAGTGGTAGTTTCTCCCTGTAGAATAAATGGTAGGTTGACATTTGACTACAGAATATTAGTCTAGAATACATAAAATCCAGCACTTTTATTACTTTTGACTTTGTCATATTTTAGAGTTTTGTTTTAGATTATATTCTACAAGGGTACATTTGGACAATATTTCACAACACGTAAACTGATTTTTTTGAACCTGTGGGAATACATTCATTTTTGGAGTAATAGCTAACAATCTGCTGTCACAATAAAATTATTATGGTTTCATAAATTTAGATATATAATGTTGAAAGTAAAAATGAATGTTACTTTTTATAAAAGTAAATAGAAAGCATGGAGGAGCACAGCAGGCTAGGCAGGATCAGAGGAGCAGGAAAGTTGACGTTTTCAGTCAGGACCCTTCTTCAGAAATCTCAGAAACCATCAACTTTAAGCTCCGCACTGTATTATGTCTGACTCCAGCATCTGCAGTTCCGACTATCCTAAAAAGAAAGCATATTGTGTTAGTAAACATGTTCTAAAATAAACACGTAACACACAGTAGTTAGATTCACAACTGTATCCTTTATATGGTAATGAATTAGTTAATAAGAAAAGGTTTCTTAATCACTCCATCTTGAAAGCATTTTTATTTGGGAAATAGATGAAGTTATGAAAATGACAGATACTTGAGAATGTTCTGTGCAAGAGTGCTGTTAACATATAAACAGTTCTATTCGGTATAGTTACATGATTGCTAGTTTTATGTTGCTTTGAATACCTTTACACGTTCCTCCACAGTCTAATGTGAAATATGTGAATTGAAAAGTTAAGGAATTTGCAGAGATTGTAATGGAAATTTTAAAATGAAGAATTGAGCCCACACTTAAATATTGCAGTTGAGTTCAGGACTCAGAAATAGAACAATAGCATATGTCAAAAAGTTGTGGCCGGCTTAGGTTAAGTGGACTCTAACTGAATGAACGAGTGTATGCTTCTGAATAACTCTGAATTAGTTGATTTTCTGTGGTAATATCCTCAGCACCTCTGAATATATTGGGGGGGAAATGAGAGGGAATCTGGTCCTGAATCTGCTTGCTGGTCCTAATCACTTTCAAGTGACTGCTGGTTCAAGGGCACATTTGTACATGTGCTCAGGTGGCAAGATCAAAGTGCTGTGACACTTCTGTGTGAATCAAGTGTTGGCATTTGAACCCTCACATGAAGAGTTCCACTTGTGCAGGATATTGGAGTATGACCAGCAGCATTGGAGCTGACCATGTAAGGATTCAATAACCGGAGAATGCAGAAAGTTGATGTGTGAAAATTTAATACATTTTGCTTTCGTTTGAAATAGATCATTTATAGGGTAAAGCCTGTTAAATTTCCTGTTCTCTTATTGTCCCATTTGAAGTGAGATACTTGAACCAACCAAGGATATCTTTGCTTTTCAGCTTCTGCTACTCATGAAGATCTAATGTACAGGAGACTATTCACCTTCACATTGAAACAGTTGACAGCCACTCTGTACATTTCAGTATTCATGCTTGGTGCTTTGGCCATTTGGGAATAAGTAACATACAACATTTTTTGTTAGAATCTCTAAAATCTTTGTGTTTGGATTTTTTTTTCATTTTGCATTGCACTATAGAAGTCATATTAATTCCTGTGCAAATTACTTTCTGCATTTACCCATGAAATGGCACAAGACTAAATTGGAAGTAGTGGATGCAGTAAAAATTATGCAGATCATAAGGCATCTATGAATGGAGAAGCTAGGTTAGCATTTCCCATTGATCTATCAGAAAAGTAAATACCTGTTTTGGGGCTTCCCATGGATAAGAAATATACTTGTATAACTTGTGAAATGACATGAACAGAAAAATTTCCTGTTTAACTGTCACATTAATGGAAATCAAAGTAGTAATTGTAATGGAATAAAATTTAAATGTAGAGGAAAAAAACTCACATTTGTATCGTACATTTCATGACTGCCAACATCTCGAAGTGCTTTATTCGAATCAAGCAAAGCCAATATTTTAATACAGGAAACACCAAAGGCAATTTGCGCATGGCACATTCACAAAACACCACTGTTACAATGATCAGATAATTTGTTTTTGTGATGTTGCTTGAAGGATAGATAGAACATAGAACAGTACAGCACAGTACAGGCCCTTCGGCCCATGATGTTGTGCCGAACTTTTACCCTAAACCTAAGGTCTGTCTAACCTCCACCCCTACCTTATACTATCATCCATATGCCTATCTAATAGCCACTTAAATGCCCCTAATGAGGCCGACTCCACTACCCTCTCCGGCAATGTATTCCACGCCCCTACCACCCTCTGAGTAAAGAACCTACCTCTGACGTCTCCCCTATATCTACCTCCACTCACCTTAAAACTATGCCTCCTCGTAATAGCTACCTCCACCCTAGGAAAAAGTCTCTGGCTGTCCACTGTATCTATATCTCTGATCATTTTGTACACCTCTATCAAGTCACCTCTCATCCTTCGTCGTTCTAAAGAGAAAAGCCCTAGCTCTCTCAATCTTTCCTCGTAAGACCTTCCCTCCATTCCAGGCAACATCCTGGTAAATCTCCTCTGCACCTTTACCAACACTTCCACATCTTTCCTGTAATATATTAGCCAAGATATTGAGAACAACTCTTCTGTCCTTTGAAATAGTGCCATGGAATTTTATTATGTGGGGCTTAGGCTTAACGTCTCCTCGAAAAACAACACATCAGTATTACATTGGAGTACATAATTTTAGAGGAATTAAATAGAATCCAGAATTTGTGTGAAATTAAACTTACAAATGTTTTTTAAATAACTGTATCACATCAATTTGTCAATTCTTCATGTCTTACCTTAAAAAGTCCTGACTTGGAACTTTTTTTGACTTCTCCAAAAGTCAAAACTCTAATTGTTTATGACCAGGATTCAACATTAACTTTCTAAGTAGGATAAGTAGCTTCCAAAGTTCAATTGCCATAACAACTTCGTTGATTAGCTTGATCTATACTTGGTTATATAATAAAATATGCAGCTTTTACACCATTTATCTGTAAATACTATTCTGCAACAATAACATTAAAAAAAAAACAATTTAGAGATGAACAGCAATACTGAAGTTAATTTAAGAAATGTAACACTTCCACCAACAGAAGTTACTTGCATGCCAAGCAAATCAAATTGCTTGGAAACCATGGACAATTCTTCTGAAACATGGACCTCGTTACTGAATTGCAGAATACCATTAATCTAATTTTTAGTACACTGTGGAAACTACATCAGTGAAGGCAAGCAGTCCTGATCTTAAACTGTAGGCTACGTCCTTTATAATTTGTCTCCAGACTCCTTGGTGAAAATTATCATGCGGCAACTAAAACTGATTTGCCAGTTTGTCAATACCTGTTGCTAGCTCAAAAGGGGAGGCAAAGACCTAATGGTATTATTGCTGGACTGTTAATCAAGAGACCCAGGTAATGTTCTCGGGATCCAGGTTCAAATCCTGCCATGGCAGATGGCATGATCATTCATCTAATGATGACTATGAATCTCCTGTTGATTGTTGGAAAAACTCATCTGGTTCACTAATATCCTTTCAGGAAGGAAACTGCCATCCTTACTTGGTCTGGCCTACATGTGACTCCAGACCCACTGCAATGTGGTTGACTCTTAACCGCCCTCTGGGCAATTCGGGATGGGTAATAAATGCTGGCCTAGCCAGTGACCTCCACGTCCTGTGAATGAATTTTTTTTAAAAAAATCACTTAAAGGTTTTAAAAAAGAAGTAACATAAGCCATATTAAGAAATATGTACGGTAGTGTTATGAACAGTTGTTGAACAAATTTATTTGTGTTTATATGCAGGTTAAGTATTTTTGTTGTAACCTAAATAAATAGTAGAGGGAGAAACCATGAAGGGAACCCTAAAAATTTACAGGAAGTGCAATTAGCGTAAGAAAAATTTACAAAACAGGATGAATGAACCGTGTCAAGTAAATGCAATTGTGACAGTTCAGAAGTAATGAAATGAAAGTAAAGTTTGATAGTGTTCCCCCTTCTGTGTGTGAAATTTGTTTTTGCTCAAGAAACAACCTAAAAAAACTAAAGCTAAAAGTTTCTAACATGGTAGTTATCCAGAAACTTAGTAAGAGGTCTGATATTCTCACAACTATTAGAACTTTGGTTGGAGACAGTGGAGACTACGTTTTACCGAGTGCTAGATTCTGTTTCTGCAATGATGCATTGCTTCAATGTTTATATTGTAGCAGAAATAATTCAGTTAAATATACAAGTATGTAAAATATTGACATTTTGGTTTAAACAGTGCATTGTTTGTTCAGAGTGCATACACAGAGGAACTTTGACAGTTTTTATGTTGCTTTAAAACTTAAAGCAGATTTTACTTATCTGGTTATTGCGACCTGATTATCATATCTTTAAGAACCAGGAAGGTTTAGAAATTGTTACTGTATATTTTTAAATGCTCCAGCCTACTAGGAATAGAAAAACAGAATATTATCTAAGTGGAAAGAGACTGCAGAACTCTGTGTCATGGAGGGATCCAGGTCTCCTGGTATTGAATCACAAAAGTTAGCATGCACCTACAACAAGTGATAAGGAACGCAAATGGAATGTTGTCACATATTGCAATGGGAATGGAATTTAAAGTAGAGAAATTTTGCTACAGCTGTAGAGCGCCTTTGTGAGACAACATCTGGAATACTTTTTACAGTTTTGGACTTCTTACATAAGAAAGGATAGAACTGCATTAGAAGCAGTTCAGAGAAAGTTTGCTTGACTGATTCCTGGGATTCTGGGGTTGTCTCAGGAAAGGTTAAAAAGTTGGGGCCTATACCTATTGGACCTGCCCTTAAATAAGGGTAACTACGAAAGAATGGGGGCAGATCTAGCTGGAGTGGATTAGGAAAGGATTATAGGAGCGAAGATGCTCGAGGAAAAATAGGAAACGTGTCACAAAATGGTTCACAGCAAAGATCTATCGCAGTGAGAAAGAAGGATGCTAGGAAGGGGTTAAGTCAACCGTTGCTAACCAGTGAAGCTAAGGTTAGCATCACATTGGAAAAAAAACAAACAATGTGGCAAAGATTTTGGTAAACCAGGGGATTCGGAAAGGTCTAAAAACACACAAAGGATGACTAGAAAAACGTAGAGGGAGAAAGTAAACTTTGAGGGTAATTTTGCAAATAATATTAAGACAGACAACAAGAGCTCCTTTAGATATATAAAAAGGAAGGATACCAAAGTGATCATAGGCTGCTAAAGAATGATGCTGGAGAAATAATGTGAATCAGGACTTAGTAAAGTTTAATCACATGGGATTCAGGGTGAGCTTGCCAATTGGATACAAAATTGGCTTTATGGTAGGTGACAGAGGTTGGTGGTGGAAGGTTGTTTTTCCGACTGGCGGCCTGTGACCAGTGGTATTCCATAGCAATTGGTACTGGGTCGACTTTTGTTTGTCGTTTATATAAATGATTTGGATGAGCGAGATGACACCAAAATCGGAGATTATATTGAACAATGAAGAAGGTTATCAAACATTACGAAAAGATCTTGATCAATTGGATCAATGGGCTGAAGAGTGATAGATAGAGTTTAATTTGGATAAATATGAGGTATTGTATTTTGGTAATACAAACAAGGGCAGGACTTATACAGTTAATGGTTGGGCCTGGGTGGTGGTGTAGAACAGAGAGACCTAGGGGTTCAGGTACATAATTCTTTGAATCTTGCACCACAGGTGGACTGATTAAAAAGATGTTTAGCACGTTTGCCTTCATTGCTCAGACCTTTGAATATAGGAGTTTGAATGTTATGTTGAGGTTGTACATGATTAGTAAGTTTGCGGATGACACTAAAATAGGCAGTATCAGGACAGTGAGGAAGGCTATCAGAAATTGCAGCAGGATCTTGATCAGTTGGGGAAGTGGGCCGAGAACTGGCAAATGGAGTTTAATATAGATAATTGTGAAGTGTTGGATTTTGGAAAGTCAAATCAAGGTAGGAGTTTCATGGTGAATGGTAGGGCCTTAAGGAGTGTAGTGGAACAGAGGGACCTTGGAGTTCAGGTACACAGTTCTCTGAAAGTGGAGTCACAGGTAGACAGGGCGATGTAGAAGGCTTTTGGCACACTGACCTTCATCATTCAGGGCATTAAGCATAGAAGTTGGGAAGTTATGATGCAGCAGTACAGGATGTCAGTGAGACTGCACTTGGACAATCGTGTTCAGTTTTGGTCACCTTGCTGTAGGAAGGATGTTGTTAAACTGGAAAGAGTGCAGAAGAAATTTACAAGGATGTTGCCAGGACTCAAGGGACTGAATTATAGGGAGAGGTTGGACAAGCTAAGACTCTTTTCTTCAGAGCATACGAGACTAAGGGGCTAATCTTATAGAAGTGTATAAGATCATGAGAGGCATGGATAGGATGAATGCATTCAGCCTTTTTCCCAGGGTTTGGGAATTGAGGACTAGAGGGTGTCAGTTTAAGGTAAGAGGGG